GCAGGTATCTGGGATTTATTTATCTTCTATAATTGAAACTTTGTAGCCTTGAATGGAGGCCACAGCCAGCCAGGTCAGGCGGGAAGCTTGACTTCCTTCATCGCTGGGGCAACCAAGCCTCCTGCTTGCTCCAGCTCTGTAGCTGCCGGCCACCATCTTGGTTGGGTTAATTTGCATATAGTCGCTCTGATTGGCTTGTGGGTGTGGCTTGGTCATAGCAGAGATGTGGTCAATTTGCATGTTTTTCTTTTATCAGATTAGATTATAAATATTAAATTATGCAAAGTTATAATATTGAGTATGCAATGTACTATAATGCCACATGTAAATATTAAATATAATCTTATATGAGATTACATACAATGAAATTATATAACTTACTGTAATTCTCGCCCCCATTTTGGCCCCTCAGTCAGGGACATAAATATGCAGTCAATCAAGACACTAATCAAAATTAATAGTCGAAAAAAGGTAGATTGCAGTCAAGGAATAGTATATAATAAATAATATTGGAATTATATGTTTCTAAATCTGTTTATATGTATGTACACATATGAGATAAATAGTTTCTTAAATTATCAAAAATATATATTAGTCATATTGATAAATGAGGAAGATTAAGATTTGTTAATGTTTACTAACTTGAAAATATATTTAAATGCATTTTCAAAGATGAAACACTTACTGCAGTTATAATCCAAATTTCAATATGACCTAAAATGAGAAATCAATTCAAAAGAGGAAATGACTGTAGCAATATTTGAATAGAATGGTTACATTTGATAATTGTACATTCTAAAGCCAATAGAAAAGGATATGGATGTACCAAAATCTTAACAGTTGCTCTTCTAATTGAATTGAAAGGAGACAATGTACACCAGGTGGCATTAAATCTGAAAATTGTTCTCTTCTTGTTTAGTATCATGAAAGTCTGTAAGGCAAAAAAGATCATGTGAAATTAGAACATGAACTATATAATCTAACCAGTTATGCAACATATTGACAATGGTCATTTCCATCATGAGTTCTAACAATTATATTTTCCTTGTATTTTGATATTCTTTTACAAACAAAAGCAAGGGGAAAGTGTTTTTTTAACTCTTTTAATTGATATTTAGGTTTATCTACCACTTTTTTGGGGGGCGGGGAGAGGCTAGGATTCTATTGAGAAAACCATTTGCCACACACCAGTCCTCAAGGTTTCCGGCAAAATTAAAATAATAGGAAGAAAGGTATATATTAATGGTTCATGGAGATTCATTTAAAAATACCTGAATTCAATAAATGTAAAAAAAATATTAATTTTATTTCAAAGCCAATGAGGTGTGGGATTACAATAGTAAAAATGACCCAAAAATACCTCAATGTTACCCCAATCATTAGTAATTATCCATGGTATAAAACCCCACTTGTTTATTATCATTTTCATAACATACATTTAAATCATGTAAATATAATATGTTGAAACATAAATCCAAAACTAATGAAAGATCAAAAATATCCTAAGAGTCATATATATATAGATGTTTATATATATGTATATATGTGTGTAGCTACAATATATACGTATATACATATACACTTACACACAGTGAAAGTGTGTAAGTGTGTATGTCTCTGTATACACACCCTTAGTATAATACATATCCAATTGAAAAATTCATTTATTGTGATATGTGCATAAACATATTTTATATTGAATATTATATATGTTATATAACAGGATATAATATATAGCATATAATGCAATGTAATACAATCTATAATAATAAAAGCGTAATGTGCTAATTAGACCGGACGTCCTTCCGGGTGACCTTCGGGACCAAGCCGGGGCTATGAGGGCCAAGGTAAGCTGCCGTGGCTGCGAGGGCCAAGCCCCTTGCATGAATTTCATGCGTTGGGCCTCTAGTATACTATAATATACTAAATGATATATATTAAATATGATCTCTTATATAGGGTGGGGCAAAAGTAGGTTTATAGTTGTTCATATGGAAAGTAATACAATAATTAATAAGTAATAATACAAATAAATTGTTTCACATACAACTGTAAATCTACTTTTGCCCCACCATGTATACTATAGTATTATATTTTATGTTATATAGCATATAATTATACAGAGGTGTATATGGTAATTATATGTAGGTATTTATATTTATACTAGAGGCCCAATGCATGAAATTCATGCACCAGTAGGCCTTCGCAGCCACGGCAGCTGCCTCCATCCCACGGCTGCAGCCCCAGCTTCATCCAGAAGGTTGTCCAGAAGGAATCCAGATGGCTGTTCGGTAGATTGGCATATTACGCTTTTATTATTATAGTTATAGTTCTTTAAAATTAATAACTTTAAATAGCCAATCATTTATATATATAAGTATTTATATAAGTGTATATAGCTATTTATATATAGATATTTATATTTATATTAGTGGATACAAATATATATTTGCTAATTATTTATACATATACTAGAGGCCCGATGCATAAAGATTTGTGCAAGAATGGGCCGTTTTTCCCCTGGCTGCCGGCACCGCCTTCGCTCCCGTCGGAGCCACCTTTCCACCTTCGCTCCTGCTGGAGCCTTCTTTCTGACTTCACTCTGGCCTGGAGCCACCTTTCCACCTTCCCATGTTGCCCAGAGGCCTGGAGCGGCTGGGGCAGTATGGAAGCCTGCGTCGCCACCATCTTTGTTGAGTTAATTTGCATACTCACTCCTGATTGGCTGGTGGCTGTTGCAAAGGTACGGTCAATTTTCATCTTTCTCTTTTATTAGTATAGATGTTCTAAATGGAAACCTTTTCCAACATACAATCTATGGATATCTGGCTGTATTGTAGACATTTCCCCCTTTCATTTTAAATGCAATGAGAAAATTAAAAAGGGCCCCACCAAATAAATCTGATTATTTAAAATGTGCTTTCTGTATATTTCCAGAACAATCTCAAACTTCACAGAAGATGGATGTGCAACCAATCAGCTCACTAGTACGTGTTATTACAAAGCAATGAGTAATTCCAAGTATAATATTTTCCAGTTAATGTTTAAATGCTGAAATTATTTATTTAATTTTAGAATCTTTAACTAATATGCCATCTTTAACAAAATAAACTGAATGTAATTCAAAAAAATTTTTTAAATATATTTTATTGATTTTTTACAGAGAGAAAGGGAGAGGGAGAGGGATAGAGAGTTAGAAACATCAATGAGAGAGAAACATTGATTCAGCTGCCTCCTGCACACCCCCCACTGGGGATGTGCTCGCAACCCAGGTACATGTCCTTGACCGGAATCGAACCTGGGACCCTTCAGTCTGCAGGCCGACATTCCATCCGCTGAGCCAAACCAGTTAGGGCTGTAATTCAAATTTTTAATAAATGTGCCATCATAAATAACTACTTTTTATACTAGGCTCCACTGCAGTTTTTTACTTTTTTTGTTTTTCAAAATTCTTGCTTTTTTTCTTTAATAACAATCCTGATTTGCTTACCACTTCAGTATCCTATATGATAAAAGGTTAATATGCAAGTAGACCGAATGGTAGAACAACCGGAACAACTGAACAACCAAACAACCAGTAGCTATGATGTGCGCTGACCACCAGGGGGGGGTGTGCAGAACATGGCAGGTGTTTGCCACAGTGGAGTGGTGGAGCAGGTGAGTGGAGGCACCAGACCAAGGCAGGGCAGTGGTCACTGTCATCAGGGCAAGCCTCTGGTGGTTACTGAAAATTCTTTGCTCTCGCGTGCCATGGTCCCGCCCGGCACTCCCACCTGCTGCTGGCGCCGGCCCTGCTCACACCCGCAGCTGGTGCTGGAGCTGCCACTCACACCCGCTGCCAGTGCCCAGCACCTGTCCCAGTCACTTGGCGCCATCAGCGGGTGGGAATGGCGGTTGTGGACCCTGATCACCCCTGAGGGCTTCTCCACCTCCCCCTGCTCCTGAGGGACAATTGGGGCAGCAGCCACCGCTCACACCCATTGATGGCATCGGCCCCACTTGCACCCGTTACTGTCACCAGCCCCAATTGCTCCTCACCATCAGCGGGTTCGAGCGGGGCCAGTGCTGTCAGCGTGTGGGAGCAGCGGTGGTGGGAATGGGGCTGCCGGCAGACAAGGGACCAAGGGCCGTGGCGGGAGGGGCAGGGCAGGGGCACAAAGGATGGACTGAGACCCGCCCCTGTGTCTACTGCAGCCACCTGGCCCACAGTTCCTTTCAAGGTGCACAAGTTTGTGCACAGGGCCCCTAGTATATTATAAAGAACTCAGAACTCTGCTATATTAGAATTACCACTACATAACTCTTATATTAATTTGATGATTTAAGCATAGCGAAAACTGAAAGCAGATAAAATTGAGATGAGGACTTACATTTCCACTATCTCAAGATCTTATAGGTATTTATTATTGTTGTATAATGCTCTGAAAGTTACCACAGTTACTGGAGTCCTTTTGTTAATACATACATTTATCCTGTAAAATGCCAATACTCTTCCACCATGCAAAGATTCAAAAGAGCTGTGGTTCTACAAAATGATCACTTTGCCGTCCATCCAGAATTTTGCTTCAATTCTATTGTTAATATCAATGAATGCTCTACAAGCATGTCAAACTCAAAGGCTAACATGGGCCAAATAAACAAGGTTTAAGTTAATGTTGGCCGCAAAAAACAAAAGCTTCAATTTTCATAAAAGCATAGGTGTATTTCAATAGAGACATGCTGAATACAAAGGGCTGAAATAAATGAGTAATCATTAACATAAAATAATAGAACACTTTATTTTTTGTTCTTTATTGATTAAGGTATTACATATGTGTCCTTATCCCCCCATTCCTCCCCCCCACACACCCACACCCCCACTAATGCCCTCATCTCCCTGGTGTCTGTGTCCATTGGTTATGCTTATATGCATGCATACAAGTCCTTTGGTTGCTCTCTCACCCTTACCCCCACCCTCCCCTACCTTACCTCTGAGGTTTGAGCATCTGATTGATGCTTCTATAAAAATTAATATTTTTTCTTGAACATTAACTTACCAGACACTGAATAACTGCACAAATTAATAAGCATAATGCAAATAAACCTATTTTTCTTGTTCTCCGAAAGCGAAATATTTCCTGTTGTGTATACCAAACAAATCAGTCCAAGACTAATGACATGGAAATTGGCTGCTAAAATATTCACTGCTAGTATTAGTGGAGAGAAATGGTGCGCCTGTGCATAAGGCACGTAAGGGAAATGAATGCAACATGATTATAGTGATCAGTCATTAGCAAACATTGTAGTTTGTTATTAATAATTATGTATAACAGGATATTGTAAAAATTAAGTTATGAAATTGTTATTAAAACGTTTCTTACATACCGTTATACCAGGTATTGGCTGGGCCACAAAAATATTTGTTGTGGGCCACATGGGGCCCATGGGCTGCAAGTTTGACATGCTTGCTCTATAAGAATATCAAATTACATTTGTCCACAATGGAGCTAATCCTTTTGTCCCTCAAACTTGATCTTTTTTATAGTTATTGCATTTTTTGTCAGCAGCACCACCATTCTTTCAGGCTGAAGACCTTGGCATTATTAGTCAGTCTTCAAATCTTGCTGATTCTTCTCGGATTTGTTACCTCTCTCTCTCTCCTCTGAGACACCATCAGGCTGGATTACTCTTTCTCTCCTATTTCATTTTTCTGACCCTACCTCTTCCATGCAATAATAATTTAGAAATCTTTATATTAACCTTACTTAAATATTGTATTCATCACATCAGTTTTTTGGTCATCACATTAAATCCATGTTGAAATCTCCCTTATTTCATCTATTGCCTACAACTTGCAGCACTGTTTCTTCCCTACTCCAGAATTAATCTCTGTTCTTGCTTGTTCAGAGATATTCCCTTTGCCTTGTTAAAATTTGAAATGTTCTCTAAACTATAACTCACATTCTATTTCTTTAATGAAGACTTTTCCAGCTATCAAGACACACAGATCTCTGCCTTTTCTTAAAAAATTTCTTATTTTTATCATTTTGTGCTTGTTTTTCAATTTTTCAAATATTTAGTAGGTTCTTCAAGTTATTCTGGAGATAAGATAGGATATGATTTATGAATGGATAAAAATGATAAATAAAATGTAGGTTGACTTTATTTTCCTAACTATTGAGTGAGCTCTTATCAAGTTGAACATGTGAAATTGTGTAGATATTATATAACTTTTATATTATAGTGCTTTAAAATTGATAACCTTAAGTAGGTGATCATCATAAAACAAATTATTATATGAATGCATAATAGGGGGGCGGGAGTGAGAGCATCTAGATAAAAGAAGGTGAAGAGATTAGCCAAAGAACATATAGGTATAGCCCATGTTCACAGACAACAGTGTGGTGAAGGCCCAGGGTGGGGAGGTGGGCAAAAAGGGGAAAATGAGGGACATCTGTAATAGTGTCAACAATTTTAAAAAATATTTTAGTGAGGTTTCAGGATATAAGATTAATATTTAAAAATCAATTATATTCTATACTGTAGCAGTAAACGAGCAAAAAATGAATTAAGGAAACAATCCTATATATATAAAACCCTAATATGCAAATCGACCAAACACTAGAATGACTGGTCGCTATGAAGTGCACTGACCACCAGGGAGCAGATGCTCAATGCAGCAGCTGCCCCCTGGTGGTCAGTGCGCTTCCACAGGGGGTGCACCACTGGGGCAGTGTTAAGGACCCCTTGGCGGACATCCCCTGAGGGGTCCCAGACTGCAAGAGGGCACAGGCTGTACTGAGGGACCTCCCCCCCTAACCAGTGACGAATGTCATGCATCGGGCCTCTAGTTCCATATAATATCACCCTAAAGAATATAATACTTAGGAATACATTTAATAAAAGCAAACACTTGTACATTGAAAACTACAAAACATTGTTGAAATAAAGAAGATCTAAATAAATATAAAGACATCTCATGTTCACAGATGGGGAGAAAAAAATAAAAAAGGTATAACAGTATAGCCTATTACAAAGTAAAGTAACCCCAAACAAACTAGCCAACAAGGCAAACAGTGACTTTTTATAAAATTCTCAAATATGTGTTAGATTTCTTATGTAGTTTTGTATAATTTAAAATTACTTATTAATTTATTCTTAATTATCTTTTTACATTCTATCTCAATTACATTTTTGCATGTCTGAAAAACAAATGTGGTCATAATAAGTTCAATTGATACTTACATTTTTATTCTGGTAGTATGGGTCCACGTCTTCCAAGGGCTCTGACACCATTCCTTGAGGAAGATTTCCATAAACAAATGGAAGCTCTTTTCCAACTTCCAAGTCAGAGTTTGGTTTTAAATCTTCTTCATGTTCCTCATTGTGTTTTTTAGCAATACGCTGTTCCATAAGTTCAAGAGACTCCCTCGTGAAGGGGACAAGGCCCTTAGGTTCTGGGGAAGCCATTTTCAATTTTTCACCTGCAAGAAATGTATTTTTTAGCTCTCTATTAAATTTGGATATACCGTAGAAAGTATAATTTTAAATGAAAAAAGTTTAGGACATATGTAAATAAAAGGTAACATATAACTGCATTTATTTAAAGGAAAGTCCTGAGTTTTGTAGAAAATTGAGCTGTTAAATTAGGTCCTGTTATACTTAATATTAGACTTAATTTATAATTTCATGTGTAACTCATTCTGTTTTCTTTACCTCTCACTGAATCCTTTTCCTCTTACTGAAATATTCCTTTCCATTTCTCCTTTGTAATAAGAGTTCTAAAAATGTGGCGGTGGGGGGTGGGAAATCCAATTATTTCACTCTCATCTGCATTTAACTATTTACTAGGCTTTCCTTTCCTAAAGGCAGTCTTCATTGCCTGTTAACCCTACTCTTCTCTTCTTTTGCTTAAAATTAAATTTATTAGGGTGACATTAGTTAATGAAACTATATAGGTTTCAAGTGTACAATTCTATGATACATAATCTGAACACTGTGTTGTGTAAAGTCAAAATTCCTTCCACACATTCAACCCTCTCTACCCTTCCCTACCCCTCCACTCCCATTTTTCTCTGGTAACCACCATACTGTTGAGTGCATCTATGAGTTTTTGTTTGTTTGTTTGTTTTGGTTATATCTACATGAAAAATGAACACATTTATTTACAAAGATATATGCAATCCTATGCATTATCCACTTTTCTTATGACTCTGAATACTCCCTTTGACTCAGTTCTTCCTTCCAAATTTTAACTCTGATATCCCTTAAAGTTATGCCTTTCCCTTCTGTTATGTCCTTCTTTTTGGTGACTGCATAGGCAAACACAGTTTTAATTACTATACATGGATACTTACCGAGTACATTTCCCAAAATAATATCTTTCTTCTGTTATTTATGTAGCAAACCCACCAATGAGAGCAACTTAACAAGTAAAAACAAAATTTATTGTTTTTCCCCATGACTATAATCAATCTTTAAGCTTCCTACTCATTATATAAAAAAGCACAAATATAAACTAATTATCTTAAATATTACTCATGAAATTTGTATTTGTCATCAATTTATCTAAAGAAAATAATGTTATTTCAATTATTTTTCATTATGTATTTAAATATGATCCATTGTTTACGTATCTACAGTGAGGTAAGTCATCTATATCTGGGTTGCTATAGTAGTCTGTATTTCGTTTCCCTCCGTTCTAGTCTTTATTTCAAATCATCCTACAGGCCACTCAAATTTGTCTTCATGAAATATAATTTTATGCATCAATTCCCCATTCATAAACCTTGTTACTTCCTCTCACAAAAAAATATGTTCTTTTGCTGATTTTCTCCAGTCTAATTCTTGTCAAAACCTACTCAAGTGATCCTATTCGGTGATAACTGACTGATTATTCTTTATTCATTCCCCTTAACCCTCTTTGTAATTTTATTACTGCAATCAAGGATAAGAAATTTTGTACTTGATAACTGTAGCATTTTGTATGTGTATATTTTGTCTCTTATAGTGTTGGCCTTGGCTGAATTCCTTCTATAAGATTTTCCTAAAACAGAAATCACACACATATGTACACACACATATATTCTGCACCAGAATTCCACACTGTTTAATGAAACTGAGTTGCTTAATAGTTTAGTTCATTACTTATATATTAAGAAAGAAAAGGTGTTAGTTAATCTTAATGGAATAACAGTCACTGGAAAAAACAGACTCTAAATGCTAGCTTAAATAAATGGTGTGAGGCAGACATTTAAGTTTACAAATGGTAATCTCATAGACATCCAAGGAAAGAACACACAGTACATTTTTATGTCCTGGGAAATAAAAATGGAAAATCAAGAACTGGGGTGACTCCTATTCCTCTCATGGGATCACCATCTTCTGGGCTTTTCTTTTCATTCTATCTCAAGAATGGCTTCCTTTGCTTACTTCTCAGAATGCGCATTAAACAATGCCATCCCAGCTTCAATTTTATTTGATTTTTCAGTTTAATTTCCCCCAGTTTTTGTAAAAAGATACTCTAAATTGGTCTAGCCCAGCCTATGGATTTATTTCCCCTTGGTATAGTCACTATAGACCAGAGAGAGAAACATTTTCACAATAGCAACAGCTTCTTATGTCTACTTCCCTCAAGGCATGTTACAAGGATGGGGTGTGAAGCAATTTTAAAGAGATAAATATGAAGTATGCATAATGGAATGTATCTACTTAGATCTCTCTTTCCAGATTAATGGTTTAAAAAAACTAACAATTGTTCATCTTAAAATTTACTTATTTTCCAAGTACCTTGCTCAATATCATGCACAAAACTAACACATTGAAAGTTGGTTAAGAATCATTTATATTTACCATATGTACATACAAACACATCTACAGCAACAACTCACAATTTATAAACATAGGCTACAGATACTGAAGTTTGTTCTTACATATGAAATCTTATTTCTTTAATATATTAAGTGGGCTTTCAAAATTAAACTCCTCACATGGAGTTCCTTGAGTATAAATTAAAAGGTTTCTTAATGACCCATGATTATAGGTTAGTATAAACAAATAAAATCATGAGCTTTGAAATTAGATAGACATGCATTCAAAAGCTAAATTCTGTTACTAGTGTTTTGAGAGGTCTCAGTCAAGTTACTCAATATTCTTGAACCTTCGGTCATAAAATTGGTGTTTTTCTTTGGGTTAAATAAGAATAAAATAAAATATTATCATTGACAATGCTTAGTACATTGACTGGCACCTAATAAGTGGGAAGTAAATATAAATTTTAATTGTGATAAGATTTTTATATCTTAGAATGATGGGCCAAACCTAATAAAATAATATATAATGGGAATATGTGTATGGTTATGGAAGTTGGACCAAAAAATCCCATCTGCACAAGTACAGTGAAGATACTTTTTTTGTAATAGAGAAAACTGCCAAGGGATTTTCCTTAATAGTAATTGCAATGTAAATCAATACTACCTTGTATCTGCCAAAAAAGCTATAAAACTGTGATCTGTATTAAAGGAAGATGTAGGAGGCAGATCTTCTCTATTCTGCTGTAATCCATAACCACACCCAAAAGGCATGTAGGTAAACTGAAGGGTCTTCAGATAGGATCAGAATATTGATTAGCCTCAAATCACAGCCTCTATAGACTACTTAAAAGAATAGAGGCTACATTAGTTGAAGTAGAAAAGACTCAAGTAAAACATTCTCTTTTCAATGTATCATAACATTGCCTGAGTCATGTTTCTTCACATGTAAACCAGAATCCCTCATGTATTACACAAGGTCATAAGGGTTAAACAGACCACATACAGAAAGCCTGCAGTACAGTACTAACTGTCCGTGCTAATTCTCTCCCCCAATTCAGTTATCCCAGAAAACTTCCTTAGTGATATTTTTTTTAATTTTTTAAATGTTTTTATTGATTTAAGAGAGGAAGGAAGAGGGAGAGAGAGATAGAAACATCAATGATAAGAACCATCCATCGGCTGCCTCCTGCCCCCTAATGTGAATCGAGCAACCTGAGAAAGCCCTGACCTGGAATTGAACCCTGACATCCTGGTTCTTGGGTCTACACTCAACTACTGAGCCACACAGGCCAGGCTCCTTAGTGATAATTTTGATGTTGAATGAAAGTACTCTGGGTGGTTGACTATGTAAATGAATTGATAGTGAGCATTGGCTTCTATAGTATGTAAAAAAAAAATGCAAGTACTTATCAAATGGAACCGACTTGCATCTGACTTCTAGATGGCTAAGAAAAGATTATGAATTATTAATAATTAAGTCACACTTAGGTAAAAGCATTTCTGTGGGGAATTTATAAAATATGGTTCAGGCACTATGCTTTCCGGTGAGTGATCTTAATACAGCACACTAAAGCCTGAAAAATATAGAAAGATTAATAGTTAATCTGTCCATTAGACTGCCTTTCTAAAAAATCGAAAGCTAAAGTACACTTTTGGCAAGAATTGTATCAAATTAAACTCAAGTTTGGACTCTAACAAATTCTAGTTGCACTAATATTTTATATTGATTAAAGTGCAAGCCATGTATCTTGGATATCAGTTGAAAGTAGCACAACCAGCATCAATATGAGAAAAAGAGATGCATTATGATAGAAAAATACTCTCCTTATAACAATTTTCAAGCATTTGAAAATGAGCCAATATTTGTCATAATTAAGGCAATTATCATTTTGGTCACACTTACTGAGTGACTAGCATTTGTGAGGCACTGGACTAGATGTTTCTATTATCTCGTGTTCTCACATGTTATCCTTGTGATCACCATTTATAAATAAGGAAACAGACACTGATGAGTTTCATGACTTCTCCATCATTGTATAGCTAGTTGAGTGGTGAAAATATATGCTAACTCAGGTGTGCCCAGTGAAATATTTTTGGTGGTTTGAGCTGAAGTATCATTGATGCTCACTGGACTGCTTCTACCATATGATATTGGCTGTGATCTTGGCTTTGACTTAGTTCTCCCCTTCTCTCCCCGTCCCTCCATTTTCTTCAGTAGATGCCCAGATTGAGGATTATTGAGAGCTGAGTTTAAATCTATCAATGATTTCATTTCTCCCAGGCTAATATGTTGTCATTAAGCAAAACTTGAAGCATTGGCATCATATAGAATATACTTTGTAGTTTATTTCAAAGCAGAGTGGCAAAGTAGAGGCTATTCAATAATTGATACAAAGAAGTTAGTGGGGAATGCTTTTCTCCCAAGTATTTTCACCATTAGTGGGAGTGTTCTCTTTCTGTCAGTCATTTCAACTTAAATTTAGACCACATTCTCTATAAAGCATGAGAGAGAGTGCATATGGGTTGAATTTTACTTTTTATTCAAGGGCATTTTGAAGTTTGGGCATTCTCTGACTTCTAGTTTTGCTGATGGTGTGGGTTTTGTGTCATTTTAATTGTTGTTGTTGTTGTTGCTGTTTTGTATTTCATTGTTTGTGAAACATACGGGGAGG